TACACAAACAGTATTGTTATGTGGCAGTGTGGTGGGGTCAAGGGATGAACAAGCAATCCCAGATGAACAGGTCTCTGCAGGGTGAATTAGTACCTATGAGAGCCCTCAGTGGCTGAAGGCTGGCTGTGAGCCTTGATGGGCAAGCACAGCATGGGAGGGGTTTTTGTAACAGGCAGTCACCTGGTCTGGCTGCGTTCTTTCTACACATCAGATTACATGGGGGGGGGGGCACTATGGGCTGGGGACCTCATTTCAGCTGAGCAGATGCCCTTGCCCAAAATAGAAACCAGGTACAAACAGCTCCTTCCTATTTCCCAAGCTGCACTGAACAAAGTGACTCTTGTTGAGTGGACTAACCCAGATTCTGAAATGCCATCTTGGTTTGGTCCCTAGCCAGCAGGGTAGGGGTGTGGGTATGCTGGGCTCCTGAGAGGGACAGCCTGTGAGCCTCACATTCTGCTGATAGACACCACGCTCTCACAATAGCTCTCAGTGGAGAAGAAAGCAAGCCACATGGCCTGGACTCTCCTGTTGGAAACCCATCTGATAGGGGTGTGTGTGGCCCTTTTAAGGCATAGGTCATGAAATGAATTTAACAAACCAATCTAGTCTTAACTGCCCACCTACTTATCCACTTTGAGGAGTAAAGAGCTCTATGAAGGGGCAGTTAACAGGAAACACAGACCAGCAGATCCTAAGGAAGCTCCTTCCACGTGTGACTCACCCCAGCTCACCTCGTAACATCTGGTTCAGTGACTGTGCCCTTGAGCACATGGGGCATGACCTTTGACCCTGTCACTTACCTGGTAGGGTGGGCTGCATCTGGATCAAGAAGCACTAGTGGCCAGACACAAGGTTTACAGAGCAAGATGGAGACTGAACTTGGACCACCTAGCTACCCGAAGGAATTTTAGGATGGGGGAGCACCACCCCTACAGAGAACAGAAAGTCAGGACAGCTGCGGCACTACAACCTCAGTGGCAGCTGCCCACATTCAGGCCCTGGGCTGAAACTGTCAGAATAGAGTCCACTCAAGAGAGCAGGAGTTGAAGGAGGCTGGGGCTGGGCCTTCCAAGCATGGAGTTTCTGAGCAGGTAGAAGAGGGCGCTCAGGTTGGCTAGACTAGCTATGCATTACAGAACCAACCGTGCTGGTGGTTCTCTTGTCCTCGGCCCTAGGGCTAAGTCACCACCTGGCATGGGAAGCAAAGGGCGTGGCTACAGCGTCCATGAATACGCAGGTTACTTGAATCCCTGGTGCCCTCGTTTGTGAGGCTTAGTGGCTCCAAGCTGCCTCCACAGTATCTCCCAAACCAGCCTCCTCAGCAGTTTGAAGTTCTGTTCTGTAATGACTGAGTATGCTGCTGTAACACGAATTCTAATAGGTCTTTTAATAAAAACCTGGATCCGGATATTGGGGTAAATGCTGAAAGATCCAAGACAAAGGAACAAGCCACTGCCACATCTCACCTCGATAACTCCCCAATCTTCTGTTTGAAATCCTGAGTCCTCACCCAAAAGGCTCCTAATAAAATTTGCCTGAAGATCAGAGAGACAAAAGGAACAAGCCACTGCCACATCTTACTCTAGGACTCCTCAGCCTGAAAAGCCTTTAGTTCCTGCTCCTCACACCTTATATACCTTTCTCTGCCCAGCCATATCACTTCCTTCTAAGTGCTGGGATTAAAGGCCTAGGTGCTTCACAAACAAAGGCGTGAGATCTCAAGTGTTGGGATTAAAGGCATGAGATCTCAAGTACTGGGATTAAAGGTGTGTGCCACCACTGCCTGGCTCTGTTTCTCTCCTATACTGGAGATCAATCTCATGTAATCCAGGGCGGCTTTGAACTCAGAGATCCAGACAGATCTCTGCCTCCCAAGTGCTAGGATTAAAGGTGTGTGTCACCACTGCCTGGCCTCTATGTTTAATCTAGTAGCTTGTTCTGTTCTCTGATTTTCAAGCACATTTTATTAGGGTACACAATATATCACCACATGCTGCTGCTATGGCTTAACACTATTTAATGAAGAGGAAAGAATGGTAGTTAGATGTGACCCTTCTCAAAGTGCCAGCCAAGTGTCAGAGAAAGTGTTCCCATGTCCGAGGAGAGGAGTGTCCTTGCTGCTGTTCACTAGGAACGTGCTGGGTGCTTTGTAGATTGATAGCACCTGGGTCTAGGCTGCAGCCCCAGTACAGTTGCTGGCACTCATTCCTCCCCAGCACTAGGAGGTGCTCCTTTCTCCTCCCTAGCAGGAGGGTAGATGACATCTGTGGACGGTAGAAGGCCACCCACGACCTGTACCCACATTTCACCTACAGTTCTTGGGCCATTCAGGACAAGAAGTGAGCCAGGGTAAATAAGCCACAGGTCTGATCACCCACTCACCTTCCTTCTCCCAGGTAATTTGAAAGCCTCCCAACACTGACCCTAGGCTATCCATAGCCATTTTTAATCACCTATCAGGGTCAAGAGAGAAGCATAAGGCAGGCACTGAGGAGGTGGCTCAGTGGTTAATGGTACTGGCTGTTCTTCAGAGCATCCAGATTCCATTCTCAGCAACCACAATGGCAGCTTAAAACCTGGCAGTAACTCCAGTCCCAGAAAATATGTGCTCACTGGCCTCCACGGGCAGCAAGCATTGCATATAGACATACATGCAGACAAAACACCCGTACGGCTCAACAGTAAGAGAAGGAAATCAAACACAAATAGGAAAGGGGAAAGGTATTTGCAAATTATGACTCTAAAGACTCCACCAGAAAAATAGAACTAAGAAGCATCCTCATTATGAGAGGTTAATGACCTCTACAAAAAGAAAACATTTAAGAAACTGGTTGGGCGGTGGTGGTGGTGGTGGTGGTGGTGGTGGTGGTGGTGGTGGTGGTGGTGGTGGTGGTGGTGGTGGTGGTGGTGGTGGTGGTGGTGGTGGTGGTGGTGGTGGTGGTGCACACCTTTGATCCCAGCACTCAGGAGGCAGAGGCAGGTGGATCTCTTGAGTTGGAGGCCAGCCTGGTCTACAAGGTGAGTTCCAGGACTGTTACACACAATCTGTCTTGGAAAAACCAAAAAGAAAAACTGAAGACACTAGAAGATGAAAAGACCTCCATTCTTATGAGCTGGAAGAATTAATATTATGAAAATGGCTGTTTGGGGTTGCGGATGTAGCTCAGTTTATAAGTGACTGCCTAGCATGCATGAGGCCCTAAGTCGGATCTTTACCACTGTATAAATTGGCATGGTGACACATGCATGGAAATCCAGCACTTGAGAGGGAGGGACAGAATCAGGAGTTGAAGGTCATCCTTGGCCACAGAGTATGAGGCCAGACAGATACAGTCTGGGAGAGAAGGAAGGAAACTGGCTACCATACCAAATGGTATCTACAAATTCAATGCAATTGCACCAAAATTCAAAAGCATTCCTAAAAATATTCAAAGCTAGAAAAACCAACCTTGGAAGCACAAATACCCCAGCTAACCAAAGTAATCTTAAGCAAAAAGAATAAATATGGGAAGTTAGCACCATAAATGACTTCATGTTATATTACAGAGTCATCGAAACAAAAAGAGCATGGTATTGATTGGCATTGAACACAGAGATTAATGGCACAAAATAAAAGACAGATAAAAACTCACACTGCTAGAGCCACCTTTTTTTTTTTTTTTTTTTAAACAAAGATGCCAAAAATGCTTACAAATGGTGCTGTGAGGCCTGGGTGTCCCCATGGTCAAGAAGGAAACTAGATATTTACCTCACCCTGCACAAGTCAATTCCAAATAGAGCAATGTAAGATGTGAAACTTAAACTGTTAAGAAAAAGAAGGGGGGAAATCAGGAAAGGAAAATAAAACAGCAAATGCACTGGCTGTTGGTAGTACACACTTGTAATCCCAGCACTCAGGAGACAGGCAGGTAGGTCTCTTGAGTTCAAAGCCAACCTGGTCTACAGAGTGAGTTCCAGGATAGCCAGGGCTACACAGTGAAACCTTGTCTTGAAAAACCAAGAAAAAAGAAAATAGCAAATGCTGGCCTGGATGTGGACAAAAGGGAACCCTCATACACTGTCAATAAGAATCTAAACTACTGACTGTGACCTCTACAGAAATCAGTGTGGAAGTTTCTCATAACACTATCCATTGATCTGCCACCCCTTGATGTTCACCCAAAGGATGGAAGTCAGACCGTCCGAGACACTAGTTCATCAGCATGCACTGCAGTGCTGTTCACAACAGCTAAGCTGTGCAACCAGCTTAGGTGTCCACCATCAGACATGAAACAGGTAAGGAAACCGTCACATACACTGGGCTTTCTTCAGCCATAAAGAATGAAGTTTGGTACATTTGTGGAAAATGAATGCAACAGGAGACAATACCGTGAATTAACCAGTCTCAGATGACAAGTATCGTATCGCATGTTTTCTCTTGTTTGTGGTTCCTAAATTTCATAGTCACTTAAAATGATATATATTAAAATAGAAGCAAAGGGGGTGGGAATGAAAGGAGGCTGATGGGTGAGAAAAGAGCAGACAGGGAGAAGGGGGTGTGTGCTCAACACACAACATAGATCTGTTAAATAATTTTAAAAGGCAGTTCAGCAGGCCCAGAGCTAAATGGAAAGGACAGCTTTATATGGGAGATTTACTTTGATTTGGGGAAATTTCCAATGGACCTCCTATGGTTTCAGCTGTCAGTTTCTGTAACAGGAAAAATTTCTTCCTAAACTTGGAAAATGAAGTTGACCTGCTCAGTGAACCCATCATGCCTTTTTAATAAGTCATAGGTGGCTGGACGGTGGTGATGCACGCCTTTAATCCCAGCACTCTGGAGGCAGAAGCAGGCTGACCTCTGAGTTCAAGGCCAGCTAGGACTACACAGAGAAACACTGTCTCAAAAAAAGACTTGGGGCTGGTGCTATCAGGACACCTAGTTCCCAAACCTCCACTTCCAGAGACTGGCAGGTCTGGGACTCAGAGGATGTGGTTCTACTGAGAACTCTGACCACTCTTCGTTCAGTCGTTTATTTCACATGTTTAGAGTCCCAGCCCAACTCCATATTTTACTTCTTAAGGGCTAACCCACCCCAGGGACACAGAAGCGCTCTATCCACCTTAAACAGGATATGCCCTCAGCCATGGATCCCTTGCAGAGCAATCCCAGCCCCGAAAGGTGTGGTACTCAGTCTGACCAGGCCGATCCAGGCCAGCAGCGCTGACCGATATCAGGAGTTCTTGGATTTTTGTTCTTTTCTGGCCCTAGAGGCCATGATTCTGAAGAAAACCCCAGGAGCCAGAGTTCTGAGATAGACAGCCATGAATGGCAGTAAGTCGGTCAAGATCACATCCTTTTTCTTCTTCCCCACAGCAGCAAGGACATCCTGGGCCACCTCTGCGGGGCTTCTGCCCTGGGCTGTGTTCTTGTCTAGAGCTACAGGAAAGAAAAGAAAAAGAACATGAGGATAAGTGAGCAGTCATGAGGCCAGCTTCCCAGAGCTCCTCCCGGAAGTAGATGGTTACACTGAGAAAATGAACTGTTTTATGGTTCAAAGCAGGTAAATGGGGATAAAGAGATACAGACAGGATGACAGACTGGGGATACCAGTTAGTGTGTGGAACCAACTAACGAGTGAGTGTACCTGCTCATCTGTCTGTGACAGATGTCCAAAGCCAGCACAGGTAGGTCTCAGAGTGGACCCCACCCCACATCTCAAGATTGACAGGGATGGAGAGATGGCTCAGAGGTTAAGAGCACTGGTTGCTCTCCCAGAGGTCCTGAGTTCAATTTCCAACAACCACATGGTGGCTCACAGCCATCTGTAATGGGATCTGATTCCCTCTTCTGGCATGCATGAAGACAAAACACTCATACATAAAAATACATAAATAAGCCAGGCAGTGGTGGCCCATGCCTTTAATCCCAGCACTCAGGAGGCAGAGGCAGGCCAGCCTGGTCTACAGAGCAAGTTCCAGGACAGGCTCCAAAGCCACAAAGAGAAACCCTGTCTCAAAAACAAAAACAAAAAACCCACATTAAATAAATAAATCTTAGGTTGTCAGGCTTGGTGGCAGGTGTCACCCATGAGCCATTTCACTGGCCTGAGAGTCTTCTTGGCCTTAGATATTTACATATGGGCAACAACCAGTGACTAGGGGATGGTTCCCAAGGCTGTCAGCAGAAGATGGTAGAGACCATCTTGACCCCATGTGCACCCTGTGCACTGAGCTGGGAGTCAACAGCTGTCCCAGTTCCCAGTGGCATGCAAAAGCTGGATGAGGAGCAGCTGGGACAGTTTAGGAGGGTGTAGGGTAACAGCATCCGATGTTCCCTCTCTGCTGGTGACTCATCCATCTTGCTAACAGCAGAACCAGACGCAGACTCAGAAGAGACCATTAGCACACACCACCCAGAAGCCGAGCTCCCATGGGGATCTGTCCTCACTGTGTGTTGACCACAGGGGAATGGGAAATTGAGAACCGTTCGAACTGAATTTTCTAGAATAAACAGGTTGGCAGTGGTCTGGCTCCTACCACTGTGGCTTTCTGTGAAGAGACTTGGTGTGGCAAGGCAGCTACCCGGTCAGTTGGGTGTAAGACCTGCTGGACCTGAGCAGCAGCAGCAGCAGCAGCACAGAACACAACGCATCCTTAGTGCCAAGCTGAGGCAGGTAGGGCTGGCTCTGATAGTCCCAGCACTCATGGACCAGCCGACCCAAGATGGGTGTTCCTATACCTATAAGCAGGAGTCAGGCAGCTCAGCCCACGGGCAGCACCTGCATGTCAGCTCAGCGCTGCCGGGCTGAGTAGGTTGGAGGCCGATACTGCTGCACCCCATCAAGCCTCACCTGAACACTCTCCCTGAAACCAGCCATTTCTCCAACACCCTGGGCAGGAACCAATCATACCAAGTGCCCCCTTCTTCCACTGACCCCGCCCCTACCTCCACACCCCCATTAGTCCTGAGTTCAATTTACTTAGTCCTAATTATATTCCTTGGGCCTTGGGGTCTGCAGGTGAGTTAGTGGGAAGTTTGGTGAGGGATTTTCTGTCCCAGTTCTCCACCTATGGGGGATCTTGTTCTAAAAGCTGAATCTGTGCTAAGGCCGAAGGGGTCTCAGTGGGGAAACGCCATGTACACAGCAGTCCACATCTGCAACCAACACTCAGGCGCAGGAATCGCTTAGGCAGCAGAGTGCTGCATTACAGTCAATCTGTAGCTTTTAGTGATGAAGGAGAGAAACCCGACCTACCTCCGTATCTGGAGCCATCGGCAGTGACAGCATTTACAGAGAGGTTGGTATAGATGTAGCCAGGGCTTATCACAGTCACTTCAATGTTATCCTGCTTCATCTCAGCACGCAAACAGTCAAAGAATGCCTGGGTTGCATGCTTGGAGGCCGAATCTGTACGTGTAGACAAAGGCAGAAAGGGTGCTGGTGTGGGTGGGTTCACCATTTAAGATTAGAGCACTAGAGCAGTGTCGTGTCCTGGTTCTGACAAGTGCACTTTGTCCTTGTTCTTAGAAGATACTGAGATCATAGGAATAAAGCACTACCATGCCTTCAGCGTCCTCAAATGGTTGAGAAAAGAAATGATATACATGGTGTGTGTGTGTGTATATGTGTATACACACATATACACATACACACACATACACACACACACACCTATACATACATTCAGCCCTGCCAAGTGGGTCTGTCTAGTTCTGTCAGGGGAGGGGGTCCCCCAATGACAGAACTGGACCCCACAGGAGTCTTCACAAGTTGTCTCCAGTCCTTGTCCCCGCTGAACATGGCCTCAGAGAGCCTCCCTCATGCAAGGCTGTGCAGATTCAAACCTTCTGACTGCTTCTATAGGGAGGAAGCTAAGCCTATGAGACAGGCCCCTGTGTTCCCCAGCAGCAGCTCCTCAGTCATGATCAGGGGCGTGGAGACCCTGCTGAGGCCCCTGGGAAACAAGCCAGTGCCTCCACAGTAAACCCGTCCCCTCTAGTTTGGAGTCCTAATGTTTTAGTACTTGTCAGAAGGGGCTCCCATCACTAAACATACCGGGAAGGCAAAGCAAGGGGGCCAGGGCAGGCACCCGGAAGCAGCAGGGCTAGTGAGGAGATGCTGGCCTGGATGAGTGGCAGCCCAAGGGATGAGGAGAGCAGCCATTCTGGGACTTGGGAGCAGAAGTCCATACTGACAGCTGGGTCACTCCAGAACCCCCAGGCCATGGGCTCTCAGCTGTGCACAGCAAGCCCACGATGCTGCCAGTGAAAGCTGGCCCCTCCTCGGGGCACACACAGTGCCACTCCCCAATGTATGTGCTGTGCTGTGAACGGCTCAGTGTCTAACAGCACGAGGGGATAGGACATTTCTCCCACTCCACTGCTAAGAAGGCTGCTCACCAGGGGTTAACTCCACCTCCCTAGGAAGCTGGCCAGACTCAGGCGGGCTAACCATCTAGTATCCAGACCACCGTGCAAGCCTGCTGCAGTCAGTGGGCCATTAAAGAACAAAGCCGGCAGGAATAAGTCAAGTGCAATGTGGCACGTAGTAATTCATGACGTCCTCTGTAAGCCTCTACTCCAGTTTAACCTCTATTAACGCTGTGGCTTAGTTGCTTCATCAATCCTGATGACGGCGTTTTGGTTTTGTTTTTCTGCAGAATCATCTGAGCAGCCTTAGGTAACTGTCCAGTGCTGTCGGGATTAAAACAAGGATGAGACCGGAGAGAGATGCCCACAGAGCATCAGGCTGCACTACTGCTGAGTGACAAAGCACAGCTCACTGCACCTTTGAGCCAGCGCTGGGAGGCGTGCAGATGGCTGCGGTGGCAGCGGAAAGCTTAGGGTCTGAAGTTAAGTGAAGGTCCCAGGGCACACGTGGAGAGCCAAAGGGCAGAACTCAGGTCCAGGCCTGGGGGAAAGGAACTGCTTCTGTGAAATGGTCAGCTGCCCTTTACTGACCTGAGTGGTGTCACCGTCCCTCCATGTGGAACAGTCCAGCCCCTCCTTGGCTGGGCTGGCCAGATTGCACTGGTCCTTGGAGGCAGATGGGCAAAGGCTTCCAAGTCAGCGCTTCCGTTTCAGAGAAAAAGATAACTAAGGAGTTTGTGATACTCCCTTTCAAATCTTTTTTTTTTCCTCCCCGAGACAGGGTGTCTCTGTGTAGCCTTGGCTGTCCTGTAGCCCAGGCTGGCCTCGAACTCACAGAGATCCACCTGCCTCTGCCTCCCGAGTGCTGGGATTGAAAGTACCACCACTGCTGGCGTACCTTTCAAATCTTTTTAACCCCCTCCGCGGACTAGAAGCTACACTCTGTGTGTCTGTTTGCATGTGTTAACAGGAGGCCAGACAAAGGACATCTGAGATCGTAGCTGCTCTCTTAGGTAGAAGTGGGCACGTGAATAGAAGCCAACTGGGTATTTTTAAGGTTTGGGTGTACCTGATGTTTCTACTTCTTCAGGCTTATCTTAATCTACAGATATCAATATTCAAGGATATCTGTCACAGATCACTACTAAAGGTCAAAGTTTGAGGTGAGGATAAGGGATTCTCCAGTGCCTATGAAGATAGCTGCCAGGCAGTGGTGCCGCACGCCTTTAATCCCAGCACTTGGGAGGCAGAGGCAGGCAAATCTCTGTGAGTTGGAGGCCAGCCTGGTCTACAGAGTGAGATCCAGGACAGGCACCAAAACTACACAGAGAAACCCTGTGTAGAAAAAAAAACTAAAAAAAGATGAAGAAAATGGCTAAGTTAATTATGTCCTAGCCATTACTGAATTATATCTAATTAAAAGAACCTATATGCTTATCTAGTTGACTGAACAAGTCCGAAACACTATGTAAAATGTGATCCCATTTTGGATGTTTGATTATATGTAGGAAAAAAACTGGAGCCATATGCCCTGAAGTGCTGAAAGGATTTCAGTCCAGGGCTACTGCAGGTCCTTCCTCATAACAGCCTTCTACACTGAGCTGTCTCCATTTGCAAGTAAAGATGAGCACATAGAGAGAGGAACACCTGCCCAAGGTCACCTAGAGGATAGGGAATAAGCTAGGATTTAAACTAAGGTACATGCTGGGCATGGTAGTGAACACCTTTAGCCCTAACACTTGGGAGGCAGAGGCAGGCAGATCTCTGAGTTCAAGGATAGCCTGATCTACACAGTGAGTTCCAAGATAACCAAGGCTAAGTAGAAAGACTATGTCTCATAAAACAAAACAAAAACCCAGAAAGACTATTCTGATGAAGTTACCAATGTATCTGTAGGGTATTTCTACAGTGTATGAATCTAGCTAGTGACACATCATTTTTTATAGTCAGAAAAAAAATAAAATGCTCTGGAAAAGGAAGGTAAAGTACTTACATGCTGATCGAAAAGGAATGCTGATCTTGCCCTGGATGCTGCTGATGGCGACGATGTGGCCTCGCTTCCTCTTGACCATGGAGGGTAGGAGCGCTGAGGGGACAGGGTAGAAAATTAGACAGTGTCTCCTAGTCACTGTACTTGGTGATGCTGGAGGAGACACTAGAGTTTTCCATAGAGAACCGTAGGAGAGAGAACAGAACATACAAACAGCACAGCCCTTGTCCTACTGGGAGCTTGACCTCTGAGCAGAGCTTGACCTCTGAGCTGAAGTCTGTGTCTACACATCAAAATATTGCCTTCGGTGGGATGCATGGAGCAGAAACGCAAAAACTGCGTCAGTGAGACCAACACTGATGTGAGGGTGCAAAACAGATACAATGGAGATATAAACCCAGAAAAAGCAAAACACCTAGACTCTAATGACCACGCCCACTGCAAGGGGCAAAATGGACAGGAACAGACAGTGTCTCACTAAAAAAAAAAAACAACCAAGATTAACTGGCATGCTAATGTCCGTGCTCATACCTCCTACCCTAAGATGCCACCTACCTTTCGTTAGAGCAACGGGGCCAAAATAGTTGATCTCCATCACCCTCCTGTCCACGTCCACTACGGTATCACTGATGGCACCACGGTAGCTGACCCCAGCGTTATTGATGAGGATGTCCACATAGCCAAAGCACTGTAGGATCTCAGCTGCTCCTGCAGCAACAGCACCAGGATCTGCGAGGTCGAAGGTCACCGTGTAAGGTTTGTGTTTCTGTCCCTGGCCAAATAAAAAAAAAAACCAAAATGCACCTTATGAGTGACCGCCACATTCCTACTTTTCAGAGTTTTGGGACCGACCCACTCGGCACAAATACAATAGGTTGTGGCAACCCTCTTCCAAAGATGCAGCCTATGAAGTTCCTGTCTGTGGTGTTCACATCTGTCTGGGCAAATTTCTCCTAGATTGAAGCTGACTGCTGTACCCCCCAAGATGTGACCACAGGCCCTTCTTCCTTCCATCAGCCAGACTGCTGACCCCCAGGTCAGGATCATGCATGGTGTGAACACACTTGTATGGTGTGTGTATTACCACAGGAGTTATTATGGTGTGAACACACTTGTATGGTGTGTGTATTACCACAGGAGTTATTAACAATAGCTGCCTTGACTCCACTCAACAGTCATCCAGGCACAGGCGCCGTCCACCCCAGGTGGTTACTTCTACTCATCTGTTTACGAAATGTTGTTCATGCATTCCCGGCAGGCCTGGCACTGGGACACAGCAGAAGGGAGGCCAGGCACGGCTCCTGACCCGGACAGGAGAGGAGGAATTAACCTTCATAATCATAAAAGCTGCTGCAAAGTACCAGGTGCTCGAGGAACGGGCCCAGCACGGTTCTGCTGCACAGCTCAGTGAGAGGAGGGAGGCAGTGAGGGGGAGGCAGAGGGGACGGCGGCAGGATGGGAGGCTCTGGGACCCCATTTCCATCTGGAAATGAAACCCTGTGGGGTGACTTGCAGCTCCAGGGTACCTGCACGTATCGTCCAAGGGAGTGCTCTGCTGGCAAACCGCAGCTGCCACCAAAACCTGGCAGGCAGCAGTGCAAAGGGCGGGCCACATTTCTGGTGTAATGTGGGGGACCCAGGGTGGGCGAGAAGGAACTTAGCGTCCACATATTGCTGACCTACTGCTCATGCCTGAGGTGGGCATGGAGGGAGACTGTTGAAACAGCCATCACTGAATACAGCTGCCAGCGGACTGCTTTGGAACATCAAAATTAATCTCTAAAAAGAATCCCCAGGAGGATGAGATACTAGATTTAATAACAAAGACATTAAAACAACTATCTCTATAACGCTGAAAGGATGAAGGAAGGCATTGGCAACAACAGGAAATAGATGAATAAAAAAAAGTGAGTATTTCAATAAAGGGGAATATTACAAAAAGAAATTCTAGCCAGGCAATGGTAGCGTATATCTTTGATCCCAGCACTTGGGAGGCAGAATCAGGTAGATCTCTGAGTTGGAGACCAGCCTGGTCTACACAGAGTGAGTACCAGGACAGCCAGGGCAACACAGAGAAACTCTGTCTTGAAAAACAAAACAACAAAAAGCAAACAAACTCAAATCCTAGAGCTTGAGTACAGTAGGTGATGCAGTGGTAAAGACACCAGAGTGAAGAAAGAGAAGAAATCTGTGAACCCAAAACATAATCATTTAAATTAACAAATCTAAAAAAGAAAAGAAAAAGCAAAGATAGAGCCTAAGAAAAATGTCAAGCAAGCCAGCATAGGAAATGTGGAGTCTGAGTATTTAAATATGAAATGCCCAACCAAAGACAAGAATCAGCGCCATCTAAGAGGTTCCACACCAACTAGATGACCTGGTGACCCACAGTGCAACAAATTATAATCCAATGGTGTCTTGAGAACAGAAGCAACTCCTCACATAAAGGCCCTCCATAAGAATACCAGCCCATGTTTCACCAGAAGCCTTGAGGGCTAAAGAAGCAGGTTGATATGTTCAAAGTTGTAAGAAAACATCAGCATATAGCATAACAGCTCTTCAAAGGTGAAGGAGAGATGAAGGCATTCCCAGGTCTACTAGATCTGTCCTGCAAGGAATGTTCAAGGGAGTTGGTCCCTTAGGGCTGAAATGGTAAGTCAGTCACCGAGAAAGGCTCAAATATAGCTGAGTGGACTGGAGAGTAGAGTGAAGCCCTGGGTTCAGTCGCCAACATGTACACTGGCTGTACTGGTACCTGCTCCGTGAGACCTGACTGAAAAACAAAACAAGCGAGACTAAAAAAGAAAGAAAGGTCTCTAGCCACGTAATGCATGGAGAATTCTAACACCTAGCGTTACTGGAATTTGGATGTGTAACTGTCTTGTGCTTTCTACATAATTAAAACAAGTGAATTTTAAAAGATCATCAATCCATTACTAGGCAAACTACAGAAGGATGTAATATGTGACATAAATGGCAGGAAACCGAGACATGGACAGGACCAGTTTTGTGTGCTCCTGAAGTTAGCAGGCAAAAATGTTAGTGTCACAACTTTAGGATGTCAAGTGTAATCTCCAACGAGGAACCTGCCTGACTCCATTTTGAAGACGGGCCATTATGATGTACTGTTAAAAATAAGTTTGAGTTGAGTGGTGGTGGTGGTGGTGGTGGTGGTGGTGGTGGTGGTGGTGGTGGTGGTGCACACCTTTAACCCCGGCACTGAGGAGGTAGAGCCAGGCGGATCTCTTGAGTTCAAGGCTAGCCTGGTCTACAGAAAGAGTCCCAGGACAGCCAGGGCTACACAGAGAAACCCTGCCTGCCCTGCCCGCCCCCCCAAAAAAAAACAGAAAAAGGAAAAATTTTAATAGTTTTACACAGTGAAACTCTGTCTCAAAAAAACAAAAGTTTCAATTTACTCTAAGAGCTGAGTTGCTGTTTTGAAGGCTGTCTTCCGGAGCCTGTCTTGCCCCAACCCATGACCTTGACTCGTTTTTTTTTTTTTTTTTTTTTTAAGAACACTTTGACCCTCCTTAACCCTCCCTAATCACATAGCGACCACATGGTGTTTCCTGAGATCTTCCTGTACTTAGTGTCCCACTGTCTCTCTTCTGTAAACCTGTTTTGCAACTACCAGTGAATTTACTCCTTAAAAGGGGCCTAAGAAATGGACTCAGGCTGTTCTCTTTAACCCCACTTGGAGGCAGTCACTGGACAGATCTTGGGTGTGCCTCAATAAAATCAAGCTTGCTTCAAACTTGTCTCAAAATTGTGGTAGTGGTCTTATTCTCACCCGATGGGATTAGCACCCTGACCACAAAGGAAATACCATGTAAGGAAATGAGATGGGAATCAATATTCTACCATCAAAAAAGAAAATCAGAGCCAGGTGGAGGCGGCCCACGCCTTTAATCCCAGCACTCAGGAGGCAGAGCCAGGCAGATCTCTGTGAGTTTGAGGCCAGCCTGGTCTACAGAGCGAGTTCCAGGACAAACTCCAAAGCTACACAGAGAAACCCTGTCTCAAACAACCAAAAAAACAAACCGTCAGTTTTCCAACAAAGATGATTAAAGAGAAACGAGGGGTTAAAATTAAAAGCTAGGAAGTATATAGACAATGGAATAGTAAATAGCAAAAGGTCCCTCCCGGTCAGAAAATACTTTAAATGTAATAGAGTGCCCCCACGGTGTTGGCCCAGCCTTTAATGTTGTATTTTAAAAGTGGCGGGAATGGGCTGGAGAGATGGCTCAGAGGTTAAGAGCATTGACTCTTCTTAGGACTGAGTATGAAGGACTCTTCTTCCTAGTTCAATTCCCAGCAACCACATGGTGGCTCACAACCATTTATAATGAGATCTGGCGCCCTCTTCTGGAATGCAGGCATACATGCAGACAGAACATGTACATAAAATAAATAAATAAATTTTAAAGAAAAAGTGGTGAGGAGTCACACCATACAACAGGCCCACATGGGAGGTTTATTGAGGGGAGGGGAGAGAAAGGGACAGAGAAGGGGCAGAGACTGGTCCCTGGGGACTAGAGCGCAGGAAGAGAAAGAGACAGAAGGTGTACAAGGTCCACCTTTTATAAGGAAACATAGTGAATGCACACAGCGGTGCTCTTAGTGACTACAGCTCAGGACATATCCTGTAAGGACCCTAAGGGCAGGCCAGGACAGATGCCTCAATGCTAACATTTAATCCCAGTACTCAGGAGGCAGAGGCAAGTAGATCTGTGAGTTTTCAGCCAGCCTGGTCTACAAAGTGAGTTCCAGAACAGCCAAGGCTACACAGAGAAACCCTATCTCAAAAAACTAAAACAAAACAAAAAGAGTAATGAGAATAAACTCTCTAATCAAAAGATAGAGGCTGACAAAATGTATTTTTTAAATACATAATTTGTTTTTATGCTCACTGGCATTTTGCCTGAGTGTATGTCTGTGTGAGGATGTCAGAAGCCTTGGGAGCTGCCATTTGGGTCCTGGGAATTGAACCTGGGTCCTCTGGAAGAGCAGCCAGTGCTCTTAACCATCTTTCCAACCCCCAATAAAATGAATTTTTTAAAAACAATCCAACTATATGTTACATATGAAAGGCTCACTTGAGATCTAGACATAAAGATGCCTCATGCAAACAGCAACCAAGAGGGAGATACAGTAACTACACTACCACTAGATAAAATAGACTTTAAATGTCAAAGAAACAGTACAAGGATGTTATATATTAGAAGTTTATTATAAGAAAATATAAAATCATAAACATTTATGTAATAGCATATTCTGTCAGGCGTAGTGGTACTCGCCTTTAATCCCAGCATTTGAGACAGAGGTAGGCAGATCTCTGTGAGTTCAAAGCCATCTGTCCTACAGAGTGAGTTCCAGGACAGCTAGGGCTACAAAAAGAGACCCTGTCTCAAAAAGCAAAAAAAAATTAAATTAAATTAAATTAAAAAGAGAGAAAGAGCCGGGCGGTGGTGGCGCACGCCTTTAATCCCAGCACTCGGGAGGCAGAGCCAGGAGGATCTCCGTGAGTTCGAGGCCAGCCTGGGCTACCAAGTGAGTCCCAGGAAAGGCGCAAAGCTACACAGAGAAACCCTGTCTGGAAAAACCAAAAAAAAAAAAAGAAAGAAAAAAAAAAGAGAGAAAGAGAAAATTACAGAATGAAATTGGACCTTTTCCTAATACTATATATAAAGTTAACTCAAACAGGGCTGAAGATATGAAAATTAGTAATACAAATGTTATAAGACATTTTTTTAAAGAGTTATTTATTTATTTGTTTATTATGCATTGTGTTCTGCCTGCATGTATGCTGTCACTCAAGAAGAGGGCACCAGATCTCATTACAGATGGTTGTGAGCCACCATGTGGGTGCTGGGAATTGAACTCAGGACCTCTGGAAGAGCAACCAGTGTTCTTAACCTCTGATCCATCTCTCCAGCTAGTAAGACTTTTTTGTTTGTTTGTTTTTTTGTTTTGTTTTTCTTTTTTGGTTTTTCGAGACAGAGTTTCTCTGTGTAGCTTTGGAGCCTGTCCTGGAACTCACTCTGTAGCCCAGTCTGGCCTCGAACTCACAGAGATCCACCTGCCTTTGCCTCCCAAGCTCTGGAATTAAAGGCGTGCGCCACCACAGCCCAGCTGGTAAGACAATTAAAAAAAAAAAAAAATCTCCTGCCAACACCAGATGAGTATGAAGATTTCCCTAGCTGTTAGCCTAGGCAGTGGTGGCTGTGGCCGATGGCCATGTTAATGTGGATGGTTCTCAAACTGCTTGGAGCCTGCTGCCTTCCAGTAGAGTGTGATCACATGGATGCCTTGTAGCTCAGTTGTCCTAGAGTGGGCTACTGTGGCCTAGGACAGTTCTTCCGTCCCCAAAGAACCCTTGCTGTAGGCTCACCTGGGAGGTAGAGGAACCAGCAAGTTCCCTGGTGAGCTCTTCAAGGGCTTCCACATTTCGACCACAGAGCACCAGCTTGGCCCCCGCAGCATGGAAGACTCTGGCACATTCTAAGGGACAAGAAAAGAACTCTGACAGCTATAATTATCCAGTGCCGTTTTTCTTCCAAGCAGATCAGTTCAAAGTCACCAGCCCTGCACAGTGCCTGCTTCTCACATCCTTCCACTTATATGTAGACCGGTGTGGAGCTGGGAGGTAAGGTCAGTGCAGGGTTCCCATCCAGAGGTATGAATGACACACATTTATGAGGCAGAGAAAGGCCAGGAAGGTGGACAGGTCTGTGATACAATGCTCAGAACTTTCCACGGTGTTCTCATGTGGTCCTGAGCAACCCTGTGGGCATCAACTTACTTGTTATTGATGAAGCCCAGTGAGGCCAAGCAGAGTCCAAGACCAACAAGCAGAGAACCTGTTCAGTAAACTCAACCCACTTCCACAAGTGGTGCGAGCTCGCGTGTGCCTGTGGTCCCTGGAGGCTGCGGTCCAGCGCCAACACTGCTCCCAGACCACTAATGCAGCTGGCAGACACACATGCACAGTTCTTTGGAAAATCAAAGCGGAAAGGCCTGGGGGCCCTTCGGGGTCCTGACCCTGGAGGGTAGGTGCAGAGGAAATGCTGGAGGCAGGGGACTAGGCCATGGAAGGTGGATGCTGGGCCTAAGGCCTTTCTGGGCCAAAGAAGAGGTTTAGGCAGCAAAATTAAGTAGGGGAAAATAGGGAAATGCTTCTTCCTCCTTGTTTACTCCCCCAAACATGTCCTAGCTAACTCTCAGTACCCCAACATCTGCATTTTTGGACAGAGTGGAGCCCAATGTTCTGGAGAATGGACTTGAGCTGGGTCTATGCATAACTCTAGCTTTCTTCTGCTTATAGGTTCTGTGATATCTGCCTACGTTACAATCTGTTTCTCCCTTTCCCCTCTGTAAGATATAAATAATAATACCTCATCCAGAGGAGACTGAGGTTGAATGAGGTAAAGTAGGTAATTACATCATAGGTAAAGCATTATGAAGTATTTTTAATACCTGTTTCTAATACTTTAACCTTTCTGTTGTTTGGAGACAAGGCCTCATGTAGCCTAGTCTGGCCTTCAAACTCACCGAGAAGCTGAAGATGGCCTTGAACTCTTGATCCTCTTGCTTCTACCATCCAAGTGTTAGGATACAGGCACGCACCACCTTGCCTGGCCAATGCTTTAATGTTTCCAAACTGCCCCTCAAAAGTGTCCTACAAACTAAGCAGCTGGCAGAAGTGTAAACTTGTCTTGCGAGTGCTCATGCAGCTGTCTTCTCAGGACACATGGGTCCCTCACCAATCTTAGAGGCTCAGGCAGTCTAGAGGTTTCTTAGGCACTATGGCTAAGAAGGATGGGACAAGCCTGCCTTGCAGGGCAATTCAGCCTCTGAAAGCCTAGCAAGGAACAGGGCTATCATTTGCTTATCTGAGAAGGGGCGGGCAGGGTCAAAGGTCTACTGTACACTGTGCACAGAGGGGCAACAACCCTTCCCTCACACAAGAGCTGGGTAAGAGGGCAGAAGAAATTCATGTCCTTCACAAAAAAGAGAGGTGCTCTGCCAACTGAGCGGCTGCTCATGGGACAGGGCGGTACTTGTGTGCCCTGTGGCTGTTCCTTCAGCCTCCTGCACAGCATTCCCCAGCAGATCAGGCCAGCAGCCCTCACCCTTCTGGAAGGAGGTGCTAAGCAGACTGCACAGCAGGGTCCTGTCATTTCTGAAGGAAGCCAGCAACTTTGTTCACAGGCTCGTCCTGATGGAAGGCTAGCTCCTGAGGCCAGACCTACTCACCTGGCTTACTACAGCATCCTACAGGTCGGAAGCTTGGGCCCTGCGGGTTTCCTCACCCTGTCTCGTCCTGTCCTAACCAAGAGACGGGACATTTTAGGAAGTGATGCATAGGAACGAGAGTGAGGAGTCATGCTGGTGTCTAGACAGCTTCTAGAAAATGATCTCCTAGATTTTATGTGAGCTTTGCGTCCTAGAGATGCCTAAAAGGGAGGGAATTAAAGTCGATGTCGTGACAGAGGTGAGAACAGCCTGGAAGGACTCCACTTGGCTTCCTGGAAAAGCTGATATAGGAGGCAGGAGGGCCGAGGGAGAGGCCAGCGGTCATCTACGGCTGCAGACAAGTCCCCAGCACTGCTGGCATGCCTGGGCTCCAAAGCAAGACAGCTGTGCATAGCCATGCTTCAGGCTGGCACCGGTCGGCATCCAGAGCATCCAAATCCTTCTGGACATTTAGTCAGTGTTCTACAAGGACAAGGCTCATGTAGCTTAAATGCACAAAACAGAAGACAAACTTTGAGAACCAGTCTATGTGAAAACGCATTCTCTAATGCTGACCCTCGCTCGGGGCAGCGGCCACGGTAGGCAGGACCATATGGATGTTCTTCCTAGAAGACGCTAGAGGACAGCAGCATTTCCCCGCAGCACCAGGGGAGTCTCTTAGGGACAGACCTAAGGCTCTGTCCCACTGTACGTGGATGGACTCCTGCTGCTAAGACCTTACATGGGCAGAATGTAAGCCCACTGACGGGGGCACAGAAGAATACACTATGTTCACGAGCAGTTTCTTCAATCACATTTTCTGTTCCCTTCAGTCTGTACTGGGAGAGAAAGCACAGATAACAAACAGACAATGTCCTACACATCCACATGTCCAGCGCAGACAACAAACAGACAATGTCCTACACA